TCTTTTTGCACTTGAGTCCATAGAAGGATAGGAAGGAGAGGTACGGGAGCTCTCTAAATCTCCCTTGATATTGTAATCTGTCTCTCTTATATAAACAATAGAAGCAGAGTTCTATCAGTATCTTTCAACGAGTCTTGTTCCTTTTTATAATAAAGTTTGTTTCTTTGTTCAATTTTTTTTTTTCCTTTTTTATATCAATGATCCACCATGTGATCTTTTCTGCTTATACTCACCTCCCACTTGTAAATTCCGTAGGTGGTCCATCTTATATGACATAAATTTTCCTCCAAAACTCCGGGAATGCAAACAAACAAAGATGAATGTTAACCCCTTAAGCATATGGCATCTGGAGAATATATGTAGCATGTGACCATATGGTAACTGCTCATTGTTTCTGGTATTTTCATCATACTCCATGCTGGTGATTACATCAGGAAATATGCCTTTGAGAAAAACCGAACTTGCAATAGGTACCTGCATATGATGGGGATGTGTAATATCATCTCCCATGACGTGTAATATCATCTCCCATGACTCTTCCTTTTCATCTATCATGAAAAGTTTGTTTTTTGTTAAAAAAAAAGGTAATTATTGGACATCCTGCTTTTTATTCTGAGTAGCTGTGGCTTCATGTCGAGATGTCTTGTGGCAAGAGTTGCCAACTTGCTAGGGAAGTTGCAGCAAAAATTGAGCAAATTCAAGCACTTTGCTGCCCAGTGCCCTCAAGTACTTTCAGAGGCAATGCATACTGAAATGAAGGCGTTGCTTGACTGACACAAGAGGCATATGCTGTGATGGAATGAGAGAGCAGTGCTCGCTGCTCTGGTTTGCTTGAGGATGTGTCTGCCTCATATGTGGTGTTTTAGTGTCAAAATTACACAGGTTTTCATTGCCATGTAACAATTTTCAAGTTGCAAATTATGAGGTGTTTTTTTTGTACACTGGAAATTTTGGTAAGGATTTTGAGCTTGATCATGTAGATATTTTGGCATTTTTAAGAGAAATTGAAAGTGGGAATGGGAATGTTGATGAGGTTCTTTTTCTTTGTAACTTTTCTGGTGCAAATTGTGACAGTTAAACATCCTGGTAATCTGTTTCACTGTTTTATTTTGGTGAAGATATATAGCTCGACATGTTTATATACAGGGGTGAGTTAGAAAAAAGCTTGGAGATATTTTGGCCTTTGTAAATTCTAAAACCGATTTTTGGTCGATCGATTTGGTCAGAAAAGTGATTTTCAACAATCGATCAGAAAAGTGATTTTCTATTGAACTGATCGACCATTTATGTTTAGTTTTAATTAGAAAAAAGTTTAAATAAGGGGCAGGCAACATTAAATATGGTTCCTAGCGGCGTGCTGCTATCTTTATTTTCTTTTATCTTGGTTAAATGACAATTTAGATGGGATAGGATTTTATTTTGATAACTTTAACTCAACTAGGGTATATCTCTTCCACCAAAAGGTGAAGTTTAAGTATATATATATAAATAAAGTACACACGGGTTATCTGACAACAGGAGTCATTTCTTTAAGATGGTAGTGTATTCAAGGATCTTTTTTATGAGTAAAATCTTAAGAAATGGACTCTCGATACTAAATTCTGTCCCCTTTATTATATACATATGGGTATTTGTTTAGAATTATAACAAAAAATGGATTTTAATGCCATAATTACAAAATAAATGGAAATTATTTTAATGCTTTTAAAATATTAAAGTAGAATTTAATAATCATAAAAATTTACTGTAATTAAAAAAACAATGAAGAGCTTATATATCATTAACATATCTGATTTATTATAATATTGAAGATCTATCAAAGAGTTTTGATATATCAACGACCTGCTATGAATATTGATATTCGTGTGATATACTTCTATTTGTACTTGATTTGATATATTTAAAAATTCGAGTAAAAGAAGAAACTAAAAAATTGAAAATCAAATTCCAAATATTGTCATATTTGCAAAATAATAAAAAAAAAAAGTTGCGGCTCTATTTGCAAATATGTCAACATTTTAAATTCAATTATCCAAAAAATAATTGTTACACAGAAAAAGTTTGATATTAGAAGCATGCATCCTGAAATTTCACCCAGTAGCAATTACTAATGTTCATTCATTCGAATAAAATAATGCGTTCAATCAACTGAATGAAGCTTCAAAAAGATTGAAGAATTTTCACTGCACATTAGGAAAATTTTCAGTTGCAACAGATGAGCACATTAAAGGCAATTCTTGCATGGCATGACCAAAACAGAATGCTGCAACTTTCTGGGTTGAAGTTGGAAATCAATAATGCTCATCAGATTTCCTTTCTCTAACATTGTTCTATAGTTGAATTGTAATTCACAAAGTTCCTCAGAGAAATGAAGTTGATAAGCTCGCAATAAATTCACAGATCATTTCCTGTTTGTGTACTAATACTGCATGAGGATTACAGATTTCAGAAATCAGGAACCAGTATTTGCACAAACTTCAATCTGGGGAAGTAGAAACAAAACTATTAGCACAAATGCAGAGTTCAACTATAGACAATTTTCTTAAACTCCCACAAGAAGATTCGAAATTTTACAGCAGAAAAGCACGAACAATAGGGGAGGGTGCTTAGTGTTCTTTAGATAATTCGGTTTTCAAGACTTGGTGTTCATGGCCCCGAATAACCAGTCTACTGACAATCGACAGTTACCAACCTAAGAGCAACCAGAACACTGAAATGACTATCAAGTATGTCGCTGCAACGATTTGAAATTGAACTTTACCTGGGCATGCCTTGTAATAACTGATCCAGATTTTTCTAGATTAAATAAGTTGTGCTTTTTTCAGGTCAGATACGACGCCCCGGTCTTCTGGACTTCTTTCATTGTATAGTACCTGATGAAAGTAAATGAATGTAGATTAATTCACAGCCACAAAAACATATGATAAATTTAATCACTTTGCAATTTTGGTACCTTATCTATGATGCCATATTCAACTGCTTCACTGGGACTGAAGTACTTTGGTCTCCTGATATCAGCTTCAATCTCCTCAGTCGACTTTCCAATATGCTTGGCATAAAGCTTAACCTTCAATATTAGTAGAAAAAATAGAACTATGTTACTTCTTTTGCCAATGCTTGTTTAGGGGGAACGAATGAAGATTCTCAACCTTATAGAAAACAACTCTATACACCAAACTAAGTAAAGGCTGGTGCCCTTTGGTGGAATGCCTCACTGAGCTTTGATGTGGAATTTATGGCTAGAAAGAAACAGATTTTTTCAAGACCACTATAGAAGTTGAGGGGATATTTTTGATTGCTCATTCTGTAGCCTCTTCTTGGATCTATCTTGATAGGCATTATTGTAATTACCCCTTTTTTGTTCATCTAAATAAGGAAACTTCCTGTGAATCCCTTATTTGAGCTAGGAGATGCCTCATCGTCCTTCCTTTTTGTCTAAACTCTAACCTTTGTTCTTATTTTATGCATGGTTTTGGTTTATTATCAATAATAACTAAATAATTTAAACCCCATACTACAATAGCAAGTGCACATCCCTCCCTCTGGAAAGATTAGGCGGGAACAAAGAGAGGGCAATCTGATACACAAGTTTCAACCATGATCTTACCAGTTCCGCCTTCACATTTCTTACTTCTTTTCTTGCGAGCTCAATGTCTGTTGCTTGACCCTGAAACCTTGCAATTGGCTGCAGAGTGGGAGAGAAAAATAAAAGATTTTCATAACTGCAAAAGTATATCAAAAGACAAGCTTAAATGCAGAAAGATGAGTAAAGCAAGATACAAACACATTTCTGAAGGTAGGAAATGAGGAGAAGGATAAGGGGAAAAAAACAAAGCAAACATATCTGGCACTGATAGACTACCTGCTTCATCATTATTGTTGATGAGGGCAATGCAGAACGGTTTCCCCTAGCACCAGCTGCCAAAAGAAGAGCTGCTTCTCCCCAAGCATTACCAACGCATAACGTGAATATAGGAGGCTTAACATACCTGCAATGGAAAAGAACAATCAGTGAAAAACATTACACTACTTTGTTGATCCTCGACAAGCATTCGATGCCAATCAAAAAACAAGGTTCTTAAGAGTGGAATGTCAAACCCATCAACTGAAAACAACACACAAGAGGGAAAAATTTAACATCAGTTTCAGATAGATTAAGTGACAAGCTTCGGAGCAAATTCTAGACAAGGTTTCTCAAACCTTATGCAACCAAAATTTTCTTCACTTTTGTATCTTTCCCAGAAGAAGAATATCCTGTATTTAGCTGTGAAATGTGGTGGTGAATATTCTATGCCTTGAATATCTTCTCAACACCTCAAACAGATGACCCATGTCTAGACAATTCATAGTACGTCTTATGATGAGGTTTTAAACATTGGTGTTATAGACATGTAAGTTGTAAGCACTAAGCACCACCTTATACAGCCACAACAAATGTCATGATGTTTTAACTTTTAATGATTTCAGTTGTCAAAAGTAAAACTCATCCTGAGCCCAGCAAAATAAAGCACCAACAGAACAGGAAAAGCAAGAATTTCTTTAGATAAGAAAGCACATTATTGTTTTAGAAAGAGAGGAAATTCAATCAAGATGATTAAGATGGCATGGGGACATTCAAATGAGTTCTACATGCAAAGCTACACAGCAAATGAGTTCCACATCATATGGTGGTTACCTTGAGGGAAGATACTGCCAGAGCAATGAGGAAAAAAAAGTTCAGACCATCCTACAATTCAATGCAAAAAATGGACTCGACCATCAAGATAAACGGCCAAAGACTTTAAAATATAAAGATTATTAACCTCATAACATCATATATTGCAAATGCCTCGGTCTCGTAGCCCAACTTCTCGCCACCCTGGAAAATGCAAGCATTCAGATTAGAGATCCATTATCAAATGGAAATGAGCATAAGTTTAATTGAAAACATGAGGGGTGATGAATGGATTGTGAGCGTTTTGTTCATAAAGCAAGCTCCGCTTTCGTACTAGAACAGCTACTTGAAATTAAATATAACTTTTCCTGCCTCCTTGTGTTATTTACATCACAATAGACAAATAAGCACAAGAGACTAACTCTACAAATACTCGTGCCAGTTGCTTAGCCTTACACAACAACTATTAAAGAAAAAAAAAGAGGTATCGCCAAAAAAGTCAAGCAAGATAAAATGAGACATCAACACAAGATAAAAATTTTAAAACATGGTTAACCTTTGTTGTCCCTGTGGAGTTTATATAAAGATATATAGGCTTTGCTTCATCCTCATACTGAAGGTAAAGAAATTCAGCTAGTATCAACTCTGTGACTGAAGGGACAAGAGACATGCCCAAGTAAACAATTCGATTCTTGTATAAATAGGATGCCAAATCTGGAGGAGGTTGCTCCCATGCACTTCCCCTAGAAAATGGAATAACCTGTTCAAATAAATCAGGTAGATAAGACACAAGAGGCCAGCAGGAATGGAGACTGGCTGTGAAGAGAACATTTTAAAGTTTAAGGGAGACCGTAAACTGTTAAGAATCATCATCTAAATTTAAAAAAAAAAAAAAAGTCACAAACAACTTTTTCCAATTGGGTCTATTTTTCAGATTCCATTATAACTACCCACTGATTAGAGAGTCGTTCGTTATTGGTATTTGAGCATTCCAACTCGAGTAAAATATCTTCAATTTTTCGTCTCTTATTTTTGCCAAGTACAACACAAATCCTCCAGAAGAGGACTCTTAAACTACAATTTAATGAACCAAAGCACCTAAAAGAACAAATAAGCAACAAAATTGAAAACCAAAACACCAGAAGAACGGAATTGCGAAGGCCCTTACCATGGTAACAACGCCCCGCTTGCCCTTGGATCCACGGGAAGAATCAGGATTAAGAGACGACGGTCGGAGCTTGACGCCGGCAAAGTCTCCGGAAACGCTGCCGCCGGCGAAAGGGGCGAGAAAGTTAGTGGAAAGCGGCGTGGGTCTGAGAGAGGAGGAGGAGAAAGACAAGGCCCGGTTGGATTTTGGATTATGGGAAGAGGTAATTGATGGTGATATTCGCTTGGTAAGCGCGAAGGTGGAGGCAGTGGTGGCGACCTCCATAGCTGGAAAACCTTGAAGAAGAGCGATAATCTGGAGAACTAACAGAAGCCGAAGATAGGAGTTGGAAGAGAAGAAGTGAAAGTTGGAGATTATGGGCTTTCATTAGTGGGCTTCTCAAACCTGAGGGACCAAGCCCAGCCCAAATCAAATTCTTTCAAAAAATAAAATAAAATAATAAATTTCTATAAATATATATATACCTTCAACTTTAGTTCATTTTTGGTCACACTACTTTTAAAATATTCGTTTCGTTTGGATTAATATACTTTTAAAAAGTGACTTTTGATTTTTATTTAAAAAATTTTAACACAAATATAAAGTAATTATTAAATTATTTTAAGAAATATATTGAATGCAGTATCAACTAGATAGTTCAGTTTAGTTTAACAAATCAAATCTAGTTGAGTCTATAATTTGGGTTAATAATAAAAAAAGGTTAAATATATTCATGGTTTTTTATTATGCTTCTTTATTTCTTTTTTTAGTTGGATTATACGTGTTTTATCTTTTAACAATATTAACAAAATGTTAATATGATATGCCACTAGTTTGTTCAACTATTTGGCACATCACGCTGGTTCAAGTAAAACTTATTTAATGAACATGTCATGTCAATATTTTGTTAGTGATATATTCAAATTATATACTATAAAAAGTTAATCCAAAATTTAGAGATCTAATTGAAACTTTTTAAAGTTTGGAGGTAAAATAGACCTTTAATGCTCAAAGAACCTAAGACTAAATAAACACAATGTTCAAAGTATACAGTGATTTGGTAGTAACAAATTTGGATGTCTTAAGCAGTTAAAGTATGCTATATTTCTCCACAAGTTTATTTCTTATAATTTCAAAGTTGTATCTATTTAGACCTTATACTTTAGAAATACCTTAATAAATCCATTAACTTAACTTTATGTCTAGCAAGTCTAGGGATGGCAATGGGGCGGGGTGGGGTCGGGGGGTCATCCCCATCCTTGCCCCATTGGGTATTTTTTCTCCATCCCCGCCCCCGTCCCCGAAATTTTGGTGGTGGGGACGAGGTGGGGATTCCCCGATCGGGGAGAGATTCTTCGTTCCCGTTATAAAAAGGGAAAAAAGTGGTTGAGGTATTAGTTTGAGTTTTTTTTTCTAAATATTAAAAAGTATTTATAAAATTAATATATTGTAATATTATTATATAAAAAATAGAAAAAGTAATAAAAAATTAAACGGGGTAGAGTTGGGGAATCCCCAACTCGATCAGGCCGGGTAACCATGGGGATCGGGTTCCGCATGTATTTTTGCCATCCCTAAGCAAGTCATTCATCATTGTTACTAATTTTCTTAGTATAACACTTACGCCTCCAAATATTTAAATCTACCCAAAGTCATCCCACAACACAATTATTTAATAACAAAGTGACGTACATAACGTACATATTAAACACAATGTTAAAAGTTCAGAAATATATTATAAGTTTTTTAAAGTACAATGACTAAATCATATACCATCTTACCAATTTAGAAACTTTTCAAAGTAGGGTGACTAAATAGGAGTGCACAAGAATAATCCAAAATCAAACCGACCTCACCAACGTCGGTCGGTCAATTTTAGAGGTAGAACGGTCGACAGTCAGGTCGGTTCTCCTACACCTACGAAAAATCAATTGATCGATCGAATATTATACAAAAAGTGTATATATATCTCACGTACATATTCACAATTTCGTTTAGGGTATCTTCCATTTTTTATTTATTTGGGGTCACCCCCGATCTCTTGCCTCTTTCGTGCTCTCTTACCTCTCTCTAACATCTCCTTTTCTCTCCTCTTGCCGATGCAAACCTTGTAAAAAAAAAAAGGGAGTCGGTTTTAGTATCAAACCGACGATCGACCGCTGAACACCTCTACCATTAAAATCTAGAGTATAAACTTGTAATTTAACCCTAAATAGTAATAGTTTATTTATACAAATTATATTAGAAAAGTGACAAGTGACAAGTGACAAGTGCCATAGCTTCCCCATCCATCATAATTCCAAGGCTGAGGATAGCTCACAAGAAGAAGAGGAACACTCTCCAGTCTCCTGCAGAGCAATGTCTTCCTCTTCCATGGCCTTGTTTTCTCCTCCATCCCATTTCTCTACGCTCTCTCCCTCTTCGACCCACAGAACCCACTTCTCCTTCACGGCCTTCCCATCTCTCCGAACCAGAAACCCCACTTTCACCACCATCAGGGCCGCTGCTGACAATGGCGCCGGAATTTCAGCTGCCGTTGCTGTAGAAACCGCCGTCCAACCGAAGGATCCAGAGCCGGAAGAGCAGGAGAGCCTCGCTGCCGGTGCTAATGGGTCCGTGGCGGCTGCCGAAGAAGTGGAGGTGGTGAGCAAATTTGAAGACCCCAAGTGGGTTAATGGGACTTGGGATTTGACTCAGTTTCGGAAAGATGGAAGTACCGATTGGGATGCTGTTATTGATGCCGGTAAGAACCCTAAATTCACATGGTGAATCAACAATTCCTTCGTAATCCGGACGAACCCTTAATTCTCTGTTGAATTTCTTTCTAATTGAATAGCTGAATCTAGACAACTTGTGGGGATACATTTGAAATTTGAGTAGAAGATTGCAAAGTTGCATGCAATGTCTGAAATGATTTTGATTCTGCAAGTTTTGATGGTGTTCAAATATCAAATTGTTTGTAATTTTTTCTTGGTGATACTTGAGCAATTACTTGATTTTCCATCAGAGGCTAGGAGGAGAAAATGGCTGGAAAACAATCCAGAATCATCAAGCAATGAAGACCCCGTAGTATTTGAATCATCCATAATTCCTTGGTGGGCTTGGATTAAGCGCTACCATCTCCCTGAGGCTGAGCTACTCAATGGTATGATCATAACATGTTTTTGTAATTGCTTTATCTTGCTTTCTTGAAGCTTGTTTGAGAAAAATAATGTTAAAACATCTGTGTACTGTACACTTGTTTTCTGGAAGTTGTTTTTTTATCTTGTTTCCATTTGGTAAGTTCTCATGGATGACATGTTTTTTCAGATGAAGTTCCTTCTTCAAATTTGTAAATCATGGCTTCAATGTATGCTATAACGTTGGCTTTCATAAGCCATTTTATCACAATTCTCATGAACAATTTTGAAACAAGAACGAAAAACTATTTTGAATATGGTTTTCAGAACAAGTCCTTTGGTCCTGTTTGATACCATTTTATTTTGGTTTTCTGTTTTTAAGAATTAAGCTTAGAAAGATTACTTTCACCTATGTGTTCATCTGTTTTTGTTATATAACTTTTGTAAACATTTTCAAAATCTAGGAAAAATTTTGCATACAAGGAAAAGTAGTTTTTGTTTTTTAAATTTGGTTTTATAATTCAAATATGTTTTCAAAAGAGATAAAAAATTTACTAATGAAACTGTAAAAAAGCAAACATAATTTTTAAAAACATAACTAAAAGCGAAATGATTATCAGACGACACCTTAGTTTTTATCAAAATCTTAAACTTCAATTTGCACTTAGTTTTGCATAGAAAAATTTGCAAGTTTGTGAATGAATCATTTGCCAGTAATAAAGTGATGAGTAAAGTATCGTATGTACCATAATGTCATGAAGCGTGGAATGGTTTTGGATGCAGGCCGTGCGGCCATGGTGGGGTTCTTCATGGCTTACTTTGTTGATAGCTTGACTGGGGTGGGACTAGTAGGTCAAATGGGCAACTTCTTCTGCAAAACTTTGTTATTTGTAGCTGTGGTGGGAGTTCTTTTGATCAGAAAGAATGAAGATATAGAGACTATAAAGAGGTTGATTGATGAGACAACATTTTATGACAAGCAATGGCAAGCAACTTGGCAGGATGAAACCTCAGCCAAAAAGTAATATAGAACATAGTTGTCTTGTCTGTTCTTGTTTTTAATTAATTTATGTTTGTGTTCTGTAAGAATTGAGCTAAGTAGAGAAGGAGGATAATATGTGAGCTCTGAAAGATATTGAATTTTAGGCCTCAGATTTTTATTAATGTTAGGATTTCTTTCTTCAATGAAAATGTCTCTCTATAATTATTGGTTTTTCTGGAAATATGATTGACAAGGTTCATATTTTCTGATGAACTTTATCAGAATACCAAAATCCAGTTTGAATTTGATTTATGTTCATATATATATATTTATATGGGTAATTATATTTGTTTGTTCTTGAATTTTAAGTTATTATGATTTAGATCTCAGGAGTTTTAAAAAATAATTCAAAATGGTCTCTATCATTTCATTAATTTTCAAAATCTTCCATTAGTTCATGATAAGCTACTTTGACATAAAGATATGTATTTTTGTCTTGATACGCGACTGTCCTTCTACATTTAAAAAATCTTTATTTGTAAAATTTTAACTTAAATTTTATACACTAGAAAAAATTATATTTCAAGAAATTTAATATGTGAAGTATAATGGCTAAATTGAACTAAAGCAAGTCGAGTTCAGCGATAATTGACATATAAAAAATACGGAGAATAAAATAATATTTAATCCTATATAATTTATTGTTATTAATTATATATATAATTTTAATGTTGTTAGAACCATATATAATTTTTTTGATTCTTTTTTAATACAACAAGTGTAGGGACCGGATATTAAGTCTCCAAATTTTAAGTAGAGTGTCTTAACTGAGCTAACGATATATAATTAATTATACATTTTTAAGATGATATGATAAAAATAATTAAAATTATACATAAATATATTCCCCTTTCCACCTTTTGAAGGTGTGAACCAAATTTGAATTAAATCAATTCTTAATAACATTTAGGGGAAATACACTGATAATCAAAGTACTCATGATAAAATACCTTATTTAAAAAATATTCTTGAACATATTTAGTAAAAGGTGTTTAATGTTTTCTTAAAAAAAAAGGGTGTTTAATGACAAATTTAGTGCTTTTTTGACAAGTATTTAGGGTGTGTTTGGAAGTGATGGTAAACGATAGTATGAGATTTAATTATAGTTAATTTTCTAAAATACAATCCAAGTGAACCGTAAAAATAAATTTAAAGTGATTTTAAACTTTCCTAATCAATTTTTTAATTTGTCAAACATGATCAACGGAAAGGAAAATGATTTTGACAATAGTTAAAGCAATTTTGGTGGGCCAAAATTACTCAAAAACACACCCTAAATCGCTTATTTCAAAACTACTCCCAGATACATTTTTAATGTGTAATTTTAGCTGATTCTCAAATACAAACCCATCACCACTTGTTTAATCCTCTCCATGTCTGGTGGAGAGATGAAGATTGAAATTGAAGAATGGAAGGTGATATATAATATTGTATGTATATTTCACCTTGTATGTATCGCCATGCCTTGTATTTATTGTACATATCACTTTGTATGTGTCACCACAACACATATTTGTATATGCATATATATATAGGTTAAATATTAGTTTGATCAATATATTTTTTGGCTTTGGTTCACTTTAGTTCATAATTTTAACCCGTTCATTTTGGTCCTTGTACTTTCAACTTTTGTTTATCTTAACATTGGACTTTTAAAAAGTGACTAATTTAATCTTTATTTGTAAAATTTGAATAGAGTTTATACACAAGAAAAACTTGTACACAAATTTATGGTTACATTATAAGAAATTAAGTTAATGAAGTGTCTGTTAAAATTATAATAAAAATGAGATAAAAAAATGAAGAGACCAAAATGGTCACTTTTTAAAAGTATAGGGACCAAAATGAGTGTTTCAAAAGTATATGGATTAAAATGAAACGACCATAATGAACCAAAATCGAAAGTACATTGACCAAAATAGTATTTAAACCATAAATATAAATGTACACAAGGTGATACATACTAAGTGATACAGCTATATATATATATATATATAAAGTAATATATCTATCCATATCTATATACGAATATATGTATATAATTTCATAATCTCACAAATATATACAAGGAGAGAAGACTTGAGAATTATAAGTTCATCTAGCTCAGGCTCAAGCTCTATCCAGTCAACTGAAATGGTGAACTCTCTCTCTATTTCTCTGTAACTCAAGGTCTGTGTTCTGACATGGTGTGGTGAAATTTGTGATAATTTTAGGCAAGGGTCTCAAAAGATAATAAAGTGGTGGTGACTGTGTATTCAGAGAGGCAAGAAACAAGGCTAGCAGTAAACCGTTACCAGCCCGACGACGCGAACAAAGCAGTGAGAAATCAGTGGAAGCAAGACATAGCTAGTAAAGGATACAATAGGAGAGCTGAGCTCCTCAAGTACTCTCAACGGCTTCGAAATTCTGCACGATCACCTACATCACCATATATCCGAACACGATCACCTACATCACCATATATCCGAACACGATCACCTGCATCACCATATATCCGAACACCAGAGCCGACTTCCTTAAAGAACAAGCAACCAATTGCAAGAAACATAGCAATTAATCTTGCATGCTCTTCCTTTTCTGTAAGTTTGCATATTGATTTACAAAGCAATCACATTTATCTTTTTGTCCTAGCAAGAAAGTATGATATAATCAACCTAGTTTTCTTCAGCAACAATCTAATCCAACTATATACATAGCAGTTATATTTGGTAATGGAATCAAGTTTTGGAGGTGTAAATGGAAGCTCTCTCTGATCACTCTACCATAATTTTAAGCTTGACAAGATCATGACAGCTTGATGCAGTTATCAGTGTAGTATATAGCTTGACATTTATATCATGTGTGATGAAGAATTACAATTTGTCTTTTTTATGATAGCTGGTCAATGCTTGTGGAAAGCCCAAGGGTGCCAGATTTACATCTTGCTTCGGTAACCTGATTCAAAGATCTTACAAAGCTTTGACAAGTTTTCGACCAAAGAAAGAGAGAAATAAGCAGAACCAAAGCAGTGGACCAACAAGCAAGAATGTTAATGATAATATAAAAAGTAGTGGATCAACAAGCAAAACTGTTAATGATGATATAAGAAGTAGAAGGATAAGACTACTGAAATTTACATGCACTTAATTTTATAGATCTCCATAAAACTTATCTGGATGTATGCCTGGATTCCTGACTTGACTATGTTTCAAGTGCACTAAAAGTGAGTACAGCCCCCTCTTTTTGTTCTTTATTGAAATAATCCACTATTTGCAATTTTACAAAAACAAAAAAACAAAAAAAAAAACAAAAAGAAAAACATAAAATGAGGTATACCAAACTAACAATATCACATGTAGATCTGCTATCTAAAATGTCTTGTCCTACTGCCCGACCTCAGTATTTGAAAAATATGTACAAGTTATGTTTGGAATAAGTATTGCATAAACTAACTCCTGATGCTTACTGTATGTATAAGCAATGTCTAGTTATGTGTAATTACTATACGAGTCTATCCACTGAGCTAAGCATTGATACTTTTCCTCGTAATACTATAGATAATCATCGTTAGATCTTGTCGATCTGTTAAGGTATCTATAAAATATTAAATTTTCCGTAACCCATCAACTTAAACTTTTGGATTTGATGGTAATTTAATATGGTACGAAAGGAGGAGGTCCTGTGTTCGAACCACTGTAATATAATTTCCTCCTCACTTCATATATATATATATATATATTTATATGAAACAATACTTTCATTGAGAATAATAAAAAAGATACAAGAACTACAAAAAAGGACCAAGGGCATACAAAAAACAGTCCAGAAAGAGGAAGCCCCCTAAAGAAAAGGACTCCAATCCAAAAGAATAAGGCCTAGCGTATAATTACATAAGGGCTTAGAAACTGAGCCCCATAACGAAGTATTAAATCTAACTAAATCCCAGACATAGTCAACAGACTTTTCCACCCTCCTAAACATTCTATGATTCCTTTCCAGCCAAATACCCCATAACATAGCTAGAAAGCAAGCCTGTCACAAAAAGTGATCCCTATTACGAAAAGGAGGGTATTTGACTGCCATAATCTTTTCTCCTCATTTCATATTGATTACCACTTGTTGAACCTTGTGCAAATTTTCATGCCATAAGGTATATAAAAGATTAAATTTACCGTAACCCATCAGCTTAAGTTTTTAGATTCAATGGCAATTTAACACAATCTACAATGTTTGGAAGGGTATTTCAATTTCCTAGTACCTAAACATTGCTTCTTCGAGAATATTTAGTGTGCTTGTTGACAAGAAAAGTCCCTGCACCAGAGTGTGCCACTTCAATATCAAGAAAGCATATCAACATTTATAAGTCTTTAATCCCAAATCCTTTAGCTGAATGTCGTTCTAGATCTCCTCTTGAAACAGATGCAGGATATACAAAAATTGGAGTTCTAACACGTTCTTAGGACAAAAAGAAAGTATGATTTTCGAACTGAAATTGGAAGTTCAGAGCAGTAGCTCATGCTACAACTGAGATTAAGAAGATAAGATGAGAAAAATTACATCTGCTGCTTCAAGAATCTAATGCATACAAAATTTCTACAAGTAAATATGTAATTTGACAATAATACAACAACTCTTTTATATAAATGATGATTCAATTGTTTACTGTACCACCATCCTTTGTATACGGACAAGAACTCAATTCTTCACACCGAACCAAAATTTGACAGTTGTCCAGATGATAAATTACTCATAGCCAGAAAATTTTGCGAGTGAACCTTAATGTTCGAAACTTTCTACTGCAAGTAAATTGGTAATGTCATGTTAAAGATGACACTTACTGGTGTCTTTGTTGTCGAGTATACTCCCAGAGTCCAATGGCACCACTAACGTGAACATTAAGAGATCTGACAACTCCCAATTGAGGAATCTCAACACATGCATCAAGTATATGGATTATATCAACAGGTATACCTTCCTTTTCACGCCCAAGGACCAATACCTACAGGGGTATTCAAAGAACCATAGGCATAACTTCAAGTACGGAAAGAAGAAGAATGTTTTGCTCTCAATTTTGTAATTCCCATAAATAGGTAACTAGTGTAACTATCATTTTTTTTCAATGTAGCATCAAGAATATGTCACTAGTGTCTTCAACTTCAGAAAAATGAAATATACAATTAGCATTTTCATCTTCAGAAAAATGTTGTATACCTCATTTTCTTTTTCCTATTGTATCTAAAATGTGAACAGTTCAAATACGTAAAACAATCAAACTTAATAAAATAAGATATATTTTAATAGGTGTACGATGTACCCTTGCTACGTCAATGTTCTAATCTTTTAAATAATAACATACATCAGGAACACATTCATACTTCACTGAGATTTGAGAATTCATAAATATCATCCTAGGAAGAAGGAAACTAATAAGAAAGTATTAAAAATTCTTTTAATTTTGTTTTCCTTTTTCCTTGCTTAATTTTTCCCCTAATCAATAATTGTGAATGACTAAAAGTCCTGATTTCCCTTAATCCAACTCACACACGTGTTCAATGTATCTACAAAGTGATGCAGAAAACCTGCTCCGGTGGTTTCTCACTCTTTCTTGATTTAAATAGGACCACATTGTTTTTTTTCCTCACCCAGACACTCTTCAACTGAAAAGTCGGGAAAAAGAATAATAAGAAGAAATTAGAAAGCAGAGTTTCAAGAATATCATACTGTCTTTTTGGGAAATGTATACTGGTCAAGAGGTACACTGTTAGCTGTTTGCTCCAAACCCAAAATAGAGAAGCCTTCCTGTTTCTTTTTCTCTAGGAAAAGTTTCATACTGTTCACTGGGACTTCTACAATAGGAACCCACTTCTCTGCTGTAACACTGAAAAGAAGCAACAATACTCAAATAAGTCAATCTGACAATGGAATTTATTTCATGCTATAAAATTTCAGAAATAAAAAAATGGAATACAAATGTAACTTTAAATAACTTCCTACTATATTATTATCCTAGAGAATCACTCTTCGAAAACACATAAGTTTAACGACGGACATAAACTTTGGCGATGAGATGACACTCTTGACTTGCTGGTTTAATGGTATTTTTCAACTGCTATCCCTATATTATTAAGAAATAAGTTGGTAACGATCCATGTGTAGTAAATTCATCAATCATTTTAGCCAACAGCATACAGCAAAGTGTTTGAAATCCTTAACTGTTCATCTAAGATAACTGATACATACCATCTGTACAGGGCAAGTTCATTAAAAATTTCCTTAATTTTAAAACTCTAAACCCGCCCAAGGCCAAGACTTTAGAGAGTCGAAGATTTTTCTTATTAACCTCATCCGAAGATTCGAACACACAACCTCTATGTTACTCAGAGACGGTAGGCCTTAGTCAACGGGGCCAGGGCCGCGTCTACAAGAGAAACTTGTTATTCTCAATCTCGTTCACTTAATTGGTCTGTGCAGAATACATGCCTAGCAGCACAAAAATAGAAGGCAAAACCTAATTCTAGTTTAAAAACAAATATACAACCACGAATTAGATGGTGAAAGATTCAATAATAAAAGAAAGATTCTAACAATTTAAAATAAATGTTTTCTGGCAGAAATCCAAAGATTCTGTGTATTTTATCAGTTCAAGAAATTTCAAATAGCACATCTAGAAAGGCTTATAAAATGGTAGCACAGAGTTTTACGTCTCACATGCCATTATGAAGAATGCCGCAAAAGAATAATAGATATAATTCTTCTCTTCTAAATTCTTGACTTAGTTCAGCAGTGTTATAGCAATATGTTTGCATTATTCTAAATATCTAAATATCTTATATATATAGTCTTTTCTTTTCCTCTTACATTACATTACTTACTTTAGGTTACCCTTGTACACATGTCAATATATATCTTTAGTGAATGAAATAGAATATATCGATTCTCTCAAACCTTTAGTGATTACATGGTATTTAGAGCACTGAGCACCATGTCTTTTCCTGAGGCAGTTAGGGTTTTGTGAGATAAGGATTTTGTAAATCATTAGGGTTTGAAGTTTGTGTCTTGAATAAGTATTGCACTCAAAATAAGGAATACAAAAGCAGGTGCATGGATAATTTATCCTCCATTAGAGATCTAATTGAAGTTATTTCAATGAAAATACTTAAGAGAAAGACCAGTTAGTAGATTATTCAAATTCTTGATATCAGCATGTGATCTTTTATGCAGTAGCAGTTGGTAAATATCCTGCTGTAACCATAGCTCAATGAGCAGACATGTACAAACTCGATTAGACAATTTACTACTGAACCTGATGAGTTGGAATTGTTTGTCATTTAGTATACTCAAGTCAGCAATAGCCAATCCTGCAGCCTTAAAAACCTGTTGAAAACAGAACTCAGTGTAAAAAGAATAATGAACAACCTAAAATATAAGATGTAAAAAACTTTATGATATCTTTTTATGAGCATCTATAACACACCTCACAAGTCCTAGCCAAACCTGCAAGATTTGGTATGCGATCAACCAGAGATGCTACAAGGATAAAATGTTGTCGATTTATTCTTAAATCTTCCATTGACAAACTTCTGGAATGCAGCAGCTGGTGAAGTAGCTGATCCTCCTCCTCCATTTCTGCAATTAAAGACTAATTAAACTACATATGATGAAGTTGGTTGATCATATCAAGGCTGATAGAAGGGGGAAAAATAGTAGACGAAGTAGTTTTTCCTAAAAATATAGAATTAATTAAACATATGGGAAAATAAATAGGATGTCCTAAACTTCCCATGAGGGATTCAATACTCTCACCAATAGAGGAAAAGAGTGAAGGAAACAAGTAGTGCATGAGAAAATTAGAGTACAAACTGAAAAAAAAAGGCCTACCCCTTTGTACAGGAATATCTTCAAACCAAAAAGTTGCTAGATTATGAGAGTCTTATATATATATATAATTTTTTGACATCTGTGAGTGTTTGGACATACTTGTGCGCGCCTCGACTAATCTCATAAGACAATTGTCTGATCCTACTACATTAGGTACCTAGAAAACTCGTAGGATGTTATATCTTAGGTGGTCACTATGGTTTGAAACTATTCTTTTTAGACTCCTTACATTTTCAATGCCCCATCCTCCCTTGCTCAACCCCCTTATATCTGTTCTCTCATCCCATCCATAACTTAACACTATATCTGTAATACTTTTCTTGGTTTTAACTTTCACAAATCATATGCCTCGTATGTGTTTTCTACTAATAATTACAATTAATTTTTAATGGAGGGGCCAGTTTTGGTCTTTTCAAAATGTCAAAGAATAAAACAGGATTATAAAAATACAGCATAAAGAATGTCCTTAAAATGAATACAGTGCATGGTTCAATTTCAGTATAATATAATGGTTTGTAATTTTGTTTAATTTCAGATCATACAATTCTTCCAGGAGACTCATTAGTAAACAGGTAGAAACACAAAAATAATAAAACGTACCATCAAGGTACTTGTAAGCTTTTTTTCTGCCCAAGTAGGAACTAGTATCAGTGTCTTTCTTCTCATGTTTTGAGAGAGTGACCTTTTTCTGAAAATCCAAAGAAGTTGCTAGAGGCAGTTTGGAAGTAGAACTTTCTTTATTTACATCAGGTGGCACGTCCATAAGGTTGTGATCTTCTATAGTTTTGAAGCTCTCATTTTTAATAGCTGTCAAGTCATTTGCCATTGAACTGCGAAGGTCTTCTCTGACATCCTGAAACAACCAAAGTACGTTATATATGTATTATACAAAGAGACATCGATGGATAAATATGAGAATTACTTACATTTAGGAAGTTAAGAACTTGCTCCAAGAGAGATATTTGGACACACTCGAACTCGAGGTCCTTTCACAAAAGGCAGGATAAATGTATTAGAAAATCAATTACTTCGGAATGGCGGCTAATACAGTTCAATAAACATGAAAAAGGTTTATTTTATGACACGTCTAGGTCAATCATAACTGACTTATTTTAGCAAGTTTTTAAATGGAGTATCATATCGCACCATTCAAACTCTAAAATGTGACAAGGGACTTATTTTAATGACCGCTTTATGAATTGCATAGTGAAAATGCATATTAATTCTTTTATTGAGAAAAATTAAAGAATACAAAGGGCCAACCTAACGGACTGGCAATGGGACCATCAAGAAAGGGGCTTACAAAAACAACAGTCCAACAAGAAGCCAAAACTAGCCTGACTGAACAAGAAAGAAGGAAAGAATCTTATCCTATTTACAAGATTTTATTTTGTACACAGTAGCTTCTTGGTACAAATCGGGGAACTCTTTGTGTAACTATTCTCTTAGCCACGTACGTCCTAATTAGATGGGATTTTTGCAACCCCTTTTAGCCTTTGGACCATACTTCCTCCCATCCCCAAAACCTCTCCGCTCCCCTAAATATTCAATTATTCTGTTCCATCTAGATACGCTATAACATTGCAAAAAAGCCAGCCCTCCAGAGGACTTTACCCTCCACCTTGAAGGGAGGGTGAAACAAAACCTCCTCAAGCATAAGGCAGCAGTCCCTCTTATAGGGCCAAATAACTCCTCTCCAGCAAAAGACAGCAGCCAATGAAGGGATGGTGAAAATGCACATTGATCGTTCCTTCATTCGAAGGTGAGCACCGAGGACCTCCCAAGAATTGGAAAGTGTATTATGATTCATGAATTGGGGTTCACGACGGTGTACTCTCAACACAAATATCTAAATGAAAGAAACACACTCTAAAAATATATATTTGTCACTTCAAATAGCAATATGCAGTCTTCATTACAAATTCATAGCTTCTCAAGCTCCCAAGTTGTACGAAAATTCAGCCTCTTGTCCAACAAATGGAACTAAAAAAAATAAAAATAAAAAAAGAAAGAAAGAAAGAAAGAAAGAAACGGAAAGAAAAATAAAAGTTTGTTCCCTCTAGTTCTTTCTTTCCTTACTCTAATCTTGCCACTGGAAATTGTTAGTATCTTTACATGGTATGCTTTAACTGTATAAATGATTATTAAATTTATCAATTTCCAGCATGCAGCTAACCTTAACTCTGCTAGAGAAAATTCCAGATGGTGTCACAGATAGGGCAGGATTATAGGCATGAAGATATCCTTCCATTGATGCCCGTAAACTGAAAGAGAAACGTATCAACTGTAAGTTTTAAGAACAATATTTAATGTGTCAACTTTTATCTGGTGTATGGTATACCTTTATAGGGTTAAAAAAGATTAAGAAGTCAAAACACGCCAGTTTTAACTAAATAGCTAAAAAGAAGACTGCAGAAACATATAATTACACAAGAAACAGAAACCATGTTTTTTTTTTTGAACAAGATACAAACATGTGTTATCATAATGTATTACAGAGAGATAAGAAGGAAAGTACCCCAGCTGGCATTTCATACTTGAAGGAGTTGCGTAAAGGTATGATTCTATGTTCGTAATTCATAACACGATATAAACGTTCAATATCTAGTAACTAAATGTTAAAATAAGTAATCATACCGGACACAATCAGGATTTTTCTCAAGGTATGATTTCAAATCTTCAAAACATCTCTTCTCTAAAGTCATACTCCCAGTGGCTCTGAATTCCACTACTGGAAAAAATTTACAAAGAACATGGTACACCAGTAACTGCGAGAAAACCAAAAGACATTGTTTATAAAAACTAAGGATAGAGACACCAGAGAGACATACACGAGAAAAGAGAGAAGAAATAAATTCTCAAAATTGATTCATCAAAGATGAGGAATAGA